CGCACCCTCGCCGCCCCGTACATCCCTTCAATCGCGCCGCGCGTTGTAACGGCGACGACAACGAGGACGACGACGACGACGAGGCTCGGGGAGAAGCGCAACGCGTCGCTACGGCGTTGCCGCGATCGCGTCGGTGCGCATCGATGGACACCCGTTAGTTGGTGTAGGAAAGGGGGGGAGGAGAGACGTCGGTGGGCCAGGTGGTCCGTCGGTGCGAATATCCATTATAGATTCGGCGGAGTGTAGCTGTCGTATCCGCGCGGCTTTTCGGCGCGCGCGCGTGTGCGAGTGCACGAATAGCGTGTGTATGTGCGTGTGTGTGCCATTGGCGCGCGTATTCCTGTTCCTATTCCGGTCTCCGAAGAGCGTCGCGGTCGCGCGCGCGACGTGCGCGCGGCTCCGTCCCTCCGTCCGCCGCGCCGCGCCGGTGGGCGGCCGCCGCCGCCGCCGCGAGTTGAGAGGGCGCCAGCGTCGGGGCTCGCGGCGCCACCGGTTTCACTCCGCCATCGGCGCCCGCGACGTTCGGACGTGTCGAGCGAGAGACGTGTGACCGTGCACGGCCTCCAAAACTCCGTTGATCTCTCGGGGCGGACAAGCGTGAGCGCGACGAAGCAGCGGCAGCCGAGCGCGAGTGAATTCATCGCGTGACACGCGACACGGGAGAAACGTGTATTTAGTAACGACGGGCGTACCGTGTGTCATCTGTCTCTACTGCAGTGCGTCGAAAGTGCGCGGGGGTTAGAGAGAGAGATAGCGAGTGAGAAGAGGGGCAGTTCGACGCGCGAAGACAGAAAAGATAGAAACAATAGGCATCGATTATCCTCCGTGCGATCTATCCGCTCGTTCCGTTCGTGACGTGCCGCGCCGTGCCGTGCCGGGACATCAAACGAGACCGAGACAACGGAGCGGAGAAAGAGAGAATGTGAGAAGACAAGGTGCGCGAGCCAAGGTTTTTTTTTTAATTTCTCTCTCTCTGTCTCTTGCTGGTTGTGGCTCGTGTTACCCGAGCTCGGGGCGCGGAGGGCGAGATCCCCCCCCCCTCGGACGGTGGAAGGTCTTCCTTCTTCGCGACGCGTAACCGCGACGGGCCTACGATCGGTTTCACGAGCGACGTCGCCTCGTGACAGCGTAACGGGGATATCCCGGAGTAAGCGAAGTGACGCGGACGGGAACGGAATCGTGTTCGTGGAGTAGCGGCGCCCAAGAATAGAAGGAGAGAGAGAGAGACTCGCCGTTCGCGAGCAGTTCGCGAGCGACCGGAGGACGCGACATAACGCGACGCAACACCACGCAACGACGCGGCGCGACGCGATCCGATCCGACCCGACCCGACCGACGCGCGCGACGTTCCCATTTCGGTTTTCGTCGGCCGGCGTGCGGAGCGCGGGCCGCGGGGTCCCCCACGGAGAGTGAGAGAGCGGCCGGCGGTGATGCCCGACGACGAGCTCTCGTGAAACCGCGGAAGGTGACACGGCGCGTTTGTGCGTTCCAGGAGTAAACGGCCCGGCGACCTCGCGGGAGCCTCCTCGGGGGAGTGGGGAAGAGAAGAAGCCCGGACGTGCGCCGCTACAGGAAGTTTCTCTCGTGAGTTTACAATACAAAAAGTGTAATTCTTTCTTTTATCTCCCTCTCGCGCCTTACTTGCGGCCTGCGCGCGACGGCCCCACGTCGTCGTCGATCTCGCGCCTCTCGTGACTTCGTCGGGATGGTTGCGGACGAAGATAGTGCTCCGAGTTATTTCGGTTGAGGTACGCGACGAGAGAAGTGACGCGATTAGCGATATTCCGTTGACGCAGCGCGATATCGGTGAGCGGTTTTTTTTTTCTTTCATAAACAGCGATAACCACGACCGCGGTTCTTTTTCACGATCACGATCGAAAATCTCGTTGGCCTCGTTGCGAAATTTGCGTATCGTCACGCGGTTTTCCAACGTATATGTTTTGTTCGAGATAGAAAACGTCGAAGTTACAATTTGAATTATTAATTTGATTCCGCTGGATCTCTAGCGT